TGGGTATAGAGACCAAAGTTTGTTATTATTAAAAAAAAAATTCAGATCAGAACCCAGGCTTGATCTGATGCCCCCCACCCACCCACCAGTTACTAATGTAGAATGCAAAATAAGATCTGAATTAAAGCTGAAGTTCTGAGCCCCAGGTTTCAGAAGGCTCTGCATAACAGTGAAAGCCCAAGACTCATTTGTGGAATCCCCATACGGATTAAGCCTCCAGTTCATTCCTTCTGACTGTTAACCAGGGATAAGGACAGTTTTGCCCTCAGGCAGAATATATTGAACGGATCACCTCTATCCCACTGACCTGCCTGGGTGTGACCCAGAGGGATTGCCATACTGGGGTCACAAAGTCCTGACTGGTGTTGGATCAATCTTGTATGTTCAATCTTGTATGTTCTTTGAACATAATGTACGTGTCCCACTGATGGCCCCGCTCCTGCTTCTGTGATGTAGTGATCTGCTGCTAACCACGCTGTTGTTTCCTTTGCCCGCCCATAGCCTTTCTAAGTCTCTGAATCCTACCAAGGAGCCCTGGTGGCATAGTGGATTATGCTGTGGGCTAACCACAAGGCCAACAGTTCAAAACTACCAGTCGCTCCAAGGGGAAAATGTGAGGCCATCTACTCCCATAAAGAATTAGTCTCTGAAACCCACAAGGGCAGTTTTACCTGCCCTACAGGGTTGCTCTGAGTTGTAATCAACTTGATGGCTGTGGATCATAGTAAAACTCTGTGCTAATGGTCTCCTTTATCCAGATATCTCTGTCTTTTGTCCAGTTTTTGACCTAAAGAATGTTCTCCTTAACTTGTATTTCAGATTTGGGGTCTCTTTTGTACCCTAAAACATATTTCAACTGCAAAATGTGTTAGGAGGGAAAAGATGTTTCAGGGTTTGTTCTTTTTCTCCCTGAGCATGTGATGCTTTAAAAAGTGATTCTTGTTTCTTAGTTAGGTGCCCTAAACACACACGCTTAGTCTCCCTTTTGACTGATTCAGAATTACTCTCAACGACAGGATTGTCTCCCTCTGGCCCACTGCCTGTCACAAAATCATTCAGGCAGCTTCATTAAAAAAATTTTTTTTTAATAATTTTTTTACTGTAGTAAATAAATAGATAACAAGACATCCAAAAATCCAATTAAAAAAACTAAAATGCAAGCTATTTATAAATTAAAAACAAAAAGAACCACCAAACATACTTGGCTCCATTCCCATCCCAGAGGCTCCGTTGTCTGCCCTGCTAACCAAGCTCGACACTGTTTTGTATGCTTGACTCCATGCCAGCTTCGGTGGTTGAGTAAGTTATATGTTGGACTGCTACCTACAAGTTCAAAACCACCTCAGGAGAAAGAGGACGCTTTTTACCACTGCTAAGAGAGTCTCAGAAATCCACCAGGAAAACTCTACTCTGCTCTATGCGTCAGAATGAACTCGATGGTGGAGAGTACATATGCTTGACTCCACATGGGTGTGTGGCATATGTTGCTGCTTCAGCACCCCTCCACTGGGTCGGCCTTCCTTCCCCAGCCGATCTGGAACTCCTGCCTCCCTCCCTCCCACCACTCATTGCTGGGAAATAAAACTAGAGAGAACATGAATAAGAACACAAACCACTAGTCAGTTAAGAACGTCTTCCCTGTTGACTACCCAGGCCATCTCAAAATGTCCTGCCTCCAGTCCAAGTGCAGCCTGGAGGGGAAACGCTGGAAATGATTCTGAAAGATCACTTAAACGCCAGCTGGCAACAGTGATACTACTTGCTGCGACCAGTCTGAGAGCCTCATTTCAAACCTTGCTCAAAAGCTGTACAAACATGAGCACCTCGTCTGTACTGGCTCTTATCTCTGTTGCCGTTGCCTCCCAGTGGCCTGGCTCCGAAATGGCCTTGGATCCCACTGGACCACAGTAAACGACTGTGTTCTAATCATTTCTGTGCAATGTAACATCTTACGATAGTCAAGCCACTGTTCCCAGCTCCACCTCAGTATGCGATCCAAAGAAGGGAGGGACCAGGTGCTAAGCGGGAACTGGTCTGTGAGAAGTCCTCCAAGTGATTAAACACGTAACACTACTGGTAACAAATGTAGGAATGTTGCCATTCCTATCTAAAAAACGTCAGGGATGCAGGACAGTTTCTCCTTCTACATTCTGGAGTGCAGATAAGGAGAACCTATTACTTCTACAACCCCAAACCTCAAACCTTTCACTTCGTTTCTGAGCACACCAAAAAGCTAGTTCACATTATTAAAATACATTCACCATGAGTCTGCTGAGGTAAGCGATAAAAAAAAAAATGCAAAAGGGGCATAGGGAAAAAGCTACTATATACAAATATTCTTGGGGTGAGGACCAGGTAGTATGGAAGGGACCAGATCAAATGCAGGGATGCACATGGTAGACAACTGGGGAGGAGTTGGGGAAAGGGAACAAAAAAAATTGATGAAAATAAGGAAAAAATGGGTAGCGGGGGCACGGGGCGCTAACCCACCCAAGGGGAGGGTATTGTTTATATCTCCACAGGAAAAGAGGTACCAAACTTCAACCCAGTGCTCCAAGGTGTGAAAACATGCTGGCGCAGAGTAGGGAATCAGT